CCAAGCCTCAAGGATCCTTCTTAGGATATTCTGCCACCAACACCATCACTTCATTGTATTATATAGTATCAGAGATTTGAATGAGCCCAAGCCAGTGGAAGAACAAACCACTCAGCACTTTTATTAAGACTGCCACTGTGGATGGTGAGTGTTGTTGGTGAGTATTCTGAATCGGAAATATGATCAGATACTAATATTATTCATTTGAAACGTTGTTGAATCAATCAATAAAAACAGCTTGGATGCAGGCTTCTTTCAATTATCAAGTATAAATGTTGATTAATTGTATTAGTCTGCTCTGTAAAACTATTTTATCAGGAAAAATCTAGTTTTACACAGGAAATAGATAACGGTAGATGCTCAGTATTAAATTACTTGGATTGGGATCGGGGTCAAATAAACTTGATGGTGAAACTTAGACAACGGCGATCTATTTTGTGCCTATCCACTTTCTGGTTTTCTAAAATACACGTCTTATTACATCAGGCTTAGACTGAGCTCCGTTGAATAGTAAATGTCTGGAAACAGCTCACCTCTCTCTCCCCTCCTTCTTGGTTCTGGTCACCTGGTTGATCTCCAGCGCGGTCAGTTTCTTTGCCACTCTGTACTGCCACAGGTAGAACGCCTCTTTGGATGCAGCAATCACATGAGTCTTGGTCATGGTGACGAATAGTGGATCTGGCCCAGGAGACAGGAGACAGGAGACACACATAGTTAGAACAATATATGTAGGAATCAATTAACAGGATTTTTTGTTTTTGTCAAACCATTTGGTTTCATTGTATATAAATAATTAGCAATTAGGTATTCACATTTTATTTTAGAATCAATAATACTTGACAATACTGACAACCATGGGAAAAGTTGGGTTATATTATGGTTGATCGCATTCTGGGATGAAAATATAAATATTTATATAAAGAAAAAAAACTAAGAGAAGAATATTAGAAATATAGACATAAGTATATGTAAAATGGTTTACATAATACTACAATATATTGGAAGAATAAATGTGGAAATAATAGAAATATATTATAAATTATTATAAATATTTTAAAAACAATAATTATACATCAAAAGAATACATACATAATAATAAAAAAGAAAATTATAATATTAATAATAACTTGCAAGGTTAAAAAATAAAATGAATTCTCTTGCAGTTACTTGTACCAAACTGCTTTAAAATAAATCAATGTAAATCTTTATTTTCTGTTTTCTGTAACTTTTTAAAGAGGAACAACTCTGCATATTTTCTGTGCGAGTAAATCCAGCAGATTCCCTTTGACTATCCATCATGAGGGCAAATGAGGAGAAACCTCCAGAAGACAGACACTTGAAGTCACCGCCTGAAACCAACTCAGACCCACTGGGCCGTTCAAATCTGCAGACTCTGAACGCTCTTGGCCGTCGCTTCTCAACAAACATTCGGCCTCGTAAAGCAGAGACAGAATGCAAAATATTTTGAAGCCGTAAAGATGCTAACTGTCTGTTTGCTATAGGATACTGGCCCATAAAAAACGTATCTGTGGGCGGCAGGTGGAAGAACGCCACTGCATGCACGCCTATATAGCTCCTGACTAAGATGGACATATAACAAAAAACTCACATTTTTATGATGTTGAAAAGAATTAAGAGACCACGGCAAAAAATGATCTTAGTCTCGAGCTGTTGATATACATATTCAAATGTCACTTTCTATAATCTCTTTAATTAATTTTAAAGATACTTTAATCTGCGTATAGCACTGTATAATTATGGAGTTTTGTACTCATAAGTATTCATTATGCTTTCTCTTATTTTCGTTTATTTATTTACATTTGAGATCATTTTTAAATGTTGTTTTTAAATATATTTCATTATAAAGGTATACTTTGACTAAAAACAAACAATGCAGATTAAGAGGAGCTTGTTTACACATACAAATGAATTGTTCTAGTAATTATAATGAAGTATGGAAATATAATATAATGTAAGACAACTATGGGAATTATAATACATTCTCGTCATTGGAAACAAAGAGCCAATGAGTGAACAGCAGTTATAATGTATTAGATACTTTACCTTACAAGACATTATAAATATGCTTTTTAAATGTTATTATTATTGTTATAAAGCATTGTGCATATGAGAGATAATACTTGCACTTCAACAGTGCTATAAGCAGATTACAACACATTTTCTGTTTATGATGTATAACAGACAGACATTAGACATTAGATAGGAACTCACCAATGTCGATGTATTTGGAGTCCAGTGGAGTCCCAATGGAGTTGCACAGAATCAGGACGTACTGAAAGGCAAAGTATTTTGACGTTATTCTACATAATTCTTTATCAAAACAAATACTACTTCTTTGAGTGTGTTTTATTTGTACATTACCCTGGCATGACTCCCAGACTCTAACTCAGCATCCTCCTGTGTGGCAGCGAATCAGAAAACAGGAAGCAAGACAATGGATAGGCTCTGAGTAATACAGCATGCTACTAGTGTATTTACCAACCTGAAATGTTTTATGGCTCATTCAAAGTATTTTTTTTTACATTTTTTACTCTCCGGTCTTTACCTGAGGCTGGGTGTCATCCGCTTTGCTGGCCAGGATGCAGAAGTCCCCGGAAGTTGTGATGGACATCAAGCTCTTGACATATTTGACAAACTTCTCGTTGTTTTTGGTGTCCCAGAACACTACACAGTACTCCTGCCGCTCTGGCTTTGTGTAGGCGTACACCACTGTGCTGCAACAGTAGCCCCACTGTAAGAGACATACAGGTGAAGAAGTGAGAAATAGGAAAGAGATATGATCAAACACGAGAAACGTTCCTTCAAACAACCCTGTCATTAGCAGTAGTCATTTCCCCCATGTATTATTTTTTCAGGAAGTGAAGTAATAACCTGTACTTCTTATTCAAAGTGTGGAAGCATGGCGTTATACTATCAATGCCAAACCGTAGCTTTAACAGACGATAGAGAATAATCATAATCATAATGCTTTGTAGGCCAACTGATTACATATTAATACTCTACTATGACACATTCCACCCCATTTACAGTGGGGCAAAAAGTATTTAGTCAGCCACCAATTGTGCAAGTTCTCCCACTTAAAAAGATGAGAGAGGCCTGTAATTTTCATCCTAGGTATATCTCAACTATGAGACAAAATGAGAAAAAAAAATCCAGAAAATCACATTGTCGGATTTTTAAAGACTTTATTTGCAAATTATGGTGGAAAATAAGTATTTGGTCAATAACAAAAGTTCATCTCAATACTTTGTTATATACCCTTTGTTGGCAATGACAGAGGTCAAATGTTTTCTGTAAGTGTTCACAAGGTTTTCACACACTGTTGCTGGTATTTTGGCCCATTCCTCCATGCAGATCTCCTCTAGAGCAGTGATGTTTTGGGGCTGTCGCTGGGCAACACGGACTTTCAACTCCCTCCAAAGATTTTCTATGGGGTTGAGATCTGGAGACTGGCTAGGCCACTCCAGGACCTTGAAATGCTTCTTACGAAGCCACTCCTTCGTTGCCCGGGCGGTGTGTTTGGGATCATTGTCATGCTGAAAGACCCAGCCACGTTTCATCTTCAATGCCCTTGCTGATGGAAGGAGGTTGTCACTCAAAATCTCACGATACATGGCCCCATTCATTCTTTCCTTTACACGGATCAGTCGTCCTGGTCCCTTTGCAGAAAAACAGCCCCAAAGCATGATGTTTCCACCCCCATGTTTCACAGTAGGTATGGTGTTCTTTGGATGCAACTCAGCATTCTTTCTCCTACAAACACGTCTAGTTGAGTTTTTACCAAAAAGTTCTATTTCTGTTTCATCTGACCATATGACATTCTCCCAATCCTCTTCTGGATCATCTAAATGCTCTCTAGCAAACTACAGACGGGCCTGGACATGTACTGGCTTAAGCAGGGGGACACGTCTGGCACTGCATGATTTGAGTCCCTGGCGGCGTAGTGTGTTACTGATGGTGGCCTTTGTTACTTTGGTCCCAGCTCTCTGCAGGTCATTGACTAGGTCCCCCCGT